AAAACAACACATAACTCATGTGGTAGAGCCAAATTTGCAAGCAAGCCCAGCATTGGTTGTTTTAGGAGACGGCTTAGTTGAGCTTTCGGTGCCTACAGCGTGTTAGCTCTATAACTACTAGTTATATTGGTTGAATTGGAACTCACTTCTGAACAACACGTTCAATGGCGTCCATTCCCATCTTTAGAACGTCCATGCGGGGACCGTAAGAAAGTCGAACGAAGTGATGACAGGGAGAGTCAAAAAGATCACGACGACGTGAAGGGTTAAGATCGAAAAAGATGCCAGGCACCACAATGACCTTCTCAGCAAGACAGGCCTGGAAGAAATTGAGGCCATCGGAGATTGACTCGGGAAGACCCTCGAGGTTGAGCCAACTGAGAATCGATTAGAGTCGATTAAATAAAGATCAAGTAGGTGTGGTGACTTACAGGTAGAATGTCGAATCCGGCACGTACTTGATGATAAATCCCATCTCCCGCAGGCGTCGTACAACGAAGTCACGCTTATCCTAAGAAACAGTGAGCTTTCCGTGTTCTCTGGATGTGCATCTCAGGACCTACTCTGAAGTGAGATTGAAGATGAATCATCTCCTTCTTGACCAAACTGGGCTCGAGCATAGGAATAGCAGCCTCCTGGAAAGGATGAGAGGCACCACCGTCCAGGTAAGAGCCGCATGAACCGATGCTGCAGGTATGTCAGTCATCTATGGCAGAAAAGGGGTACCAATAAAAGTGACTCAAAAAATTCAGAGAAAATTCAAGATAAAACGTACGCATTGATATATTCTAAGAGGACAAAGTTAGTATCTTTTCTTGGTGTGTATCTTCTTTGGTGTGCTTACCCTTGGGTCCCAAGATCCAAGCAATTCTCCAACCAGGCAGACGAAAGCGCTTGGTGAGACCATCAATGATCAGAACATCATCTTCGTCGACGTCATCGACGTTCTCTGCCGCGCTGATTGTCGAGCCATCGCAATTCGATGTGTAGTTGTATCCCGAGTAGAATTCGTCGCTAATGAATGTGGCTCTGTCTCGACAGATGTCCTGAATCTCGGCAAGCTCCGGGTTGGCGATAACACGACCCGTGGGGTTGCGAGGGTTCGAGGTAAGAATGACAGAGGTACCACGAGCAATTTCCTCGGCAATCTTGTCAGGGTGAATGTGGTAGCCGTCCTCTTCAGCCAGAGGGACGGGAATGGCGGCAAACTGTGAGATCACGTCAGCACCTCACCACCAAGCATGGATTTTTCGCTACAGTAAAACTCACGTTTTTGAAAAGGCTCAGCATCTCATTGTAAGCCGTGTAGTCGGGCAAGAAGAAAGACAGGTATGAGTTGCCGAGAACGGCAGCGATACGGATGAGACCAGCACGGCCACCAGGTACGATAGCTACATTCTCCCAGGTGTATTGACTCTCCTTACCCTGACGGTGTTCCTCATTGTAAAGTTTAGCAACCGCCTCTCTCAATGGTTTGATACCAGCGGTAGGGCCATACTCTCGACCAGCCATTGAAATGTTGATGGTCTCGGGTCGGGGGAAACAGCCCTCAATGTCATCCTCGACTTCAGGGGCACCCTGGCCAAGATTGGCCCATGATTCAGGATCCTCAAGGTAGCCATACTCAGAGGCCCGCTCTGTACACCAGATAACACCGGTGGAAGATCGGCTGGCATCGAGACCAGCATGAGGCATGTGTCCCTCATGAGCATTTCGGAACTGGCGATGAACCTTGGATTGGAATTCTAGCAAAGTATTGAATTAGTATAATGCGATTGGTTACAGCTGTTTTCATACAATATCTCTATCGCGTTGGGGAGTTGAATTATGACGTTGTGGGGCAGAGCTGTAGCTGCAGCCAAGCTCCTGTATAGCTCATGTAAGGCGGATTTGGAGGGGTTCAGTTTATGGAGGGGCAAAACGGCAGGGATTGTGAGGGACAGAGAGGGGAAGGGCCGCATCAGTGGCGCCGGTAGTGAGAGCGATAAGGCGGGACGGTGAGGGGAGGTAAGAAAACGGTGAAGAAAGATCAATGAGGCTTTCGTTGATGATTTTTTATAGATAACTCATCAAGTTGGAGAATGTGGTGTTGAAGTAGCTCGAGGAACTTCTGGAAGACAGAGAGGTGCAACGTTATAGCGAGAAGCCAAACCCTGGGCAAAGAAGCCACAAATGAGACACAAATGAGACACAAATGCTTACCGTTGGTTGAAGGCTCAGTCGTACTGAAACGTCGAGTGAGTGTCTTGGGTGCGCCAGTATGGCGGTTGATAGAGAACTTGCGTCCACTGAAAGACATGATGGCGATGCGAGAGAGGGATAAAGAGAAGAGAGTTGATGAAAGGTTGGAGTAGTATTTGATTAGGTAGTAGAGGTGGTGGTTCCTAGCAGGACCAGGTTAGGTAATGGGAAGCTGGCAATATGGCTCTAGTGAGGCCCAGTCATGCAAGTCACAATAGTCGCGACAGCCGGATCAAGATGTCGGCGGGGGGAGGAGATTATCTAACTTATCTCGAGAAGAGAAGAAAGAAGGGAGAGAAGGGAGGAAAACTCAATGTGGATGTTTACGGGGGATTGAATATAAGTGCAAAAAAACCAGTAACGGCCTTGGTCACTAGGTAAAGCACAGAAAAATTCGGGGGTGGGACCTTTTAGGTTGCCTCTCCAGGTACTGTACCACAGCAGGAACAAAAGCAGAAGAAAAGAAAAAAAGAGGCCATTCAGCGACGAGAGGCTGTAAACAGTGCCTTGTCAGTTGGTCTGTGAGGCCCCAGGAGCCAGGTGAGCATTGACCTGGGCTGCAAGGTGAAGGAGGTGGTGAAGAACAGAGCTGCAATTGGATTGGATTGGGCTGAATTGTATGCATCATGCATCACCCGTAACGGAAAACGGCACCTCTAGAGTCAATTCTCTGGCTGCGTAATTACCGTGTTGCGTGTTGAGGTAACCAGAATTCGTCCCAGGATCGAACATGATCGCCAAGCAGCTCACACCGAGTGTCCAAAGCAGGACGCATAATCTCTCAAGCATGCCACTATTCGCAGCTTTGACGTTCCATTACAGCGTCAATCCTGGGGTAGATGCCCCCCTTTTCGCAGCCTGATACGACATGTCATGTCGTTTGAAGGTCGAGACGCTTCTCTAACAGATATGCACGTTGCTAGCTTTGTCCAATCATTTGAGTTTTGCCCTACTTTTTCAAGTTTTCTCTTTTTATCATTTGGCCCCCGCGCAATTATTTGAAAGCTCCTCACCTCAATGACAACCAAAGTGACGTACTGCAACTGTCCATAATTAAATGCTAGCTCAAGAGCTTAGGTGGGGGTAATATTGAGGTGAGCATGAAATTCACCTCAGCGTACGGAGTAACGTGGGTTCTCAAAATAATAAGTTCAATTCCTATTATTTCCTCATTTATCTTCTCTTCCCTCATATTCTGCCCAATCTCAACCTGACCGGGACGTCTGAGTCCGGTCAAGACCCGCAAACATTGGCATTGCGACGATCTCAGAGGGTCTAGCCTCTATATCGTTACCTAAAACCCCAGTTTGGTCTCTTCCCTTACCCACAGTGTCTCCGACCCCAGGACAGCGAGTCAAGCTCAACACCAACTGGTCCGGAGCTTGGACTGTCGGCCCGGCCCCCTAGCTTCAACTCCAACTCCAACTCAAACCATCAACTCCAACACAGTCAGGACCTCAGAGCTGATGTCTTCGTCTATGTGAAATGTCGCGCATCGGATCAAAAGGGAAGCTCGGTGAGAACCCGAGCCTGAAACACTCTAGAAGCTCGCTAGAACATCCAGAACGAGATATCTTGTCCTGATAGAGCACAAGGAAGCAGCCCGGTTGGTCCCGATCTCGCGGGGCTGTGAGCCTCGAGAGACCACTTACAACTCGTCGAATCATGAGACAGACACGTTACCAAGGCATCGTGTGGAACGTTTTCGATACCGACGAGGGTTGGTATCTCCATGCTCACCGTGCTTACCTAGACTGCGCCGCGGAACGAGACGGCCTCGCCGTATAACGGCGATGCACGCCGAGACTGCTTTGATTATTCGCGCAAACGCATTAAACTAACAGGCATCATAGCCAGGAGTAATTGGGCTATCTACATAGTAACATTTCCCCAGTAAGAAGTACCTGAACTCACAGAGCTAGCAATACTCAAGTCTTGGCAAGAACTGATATAAGTTGGTGAAGCTTCAGGGTATTCAATAATGCTCGTCTGTGTTTACAACCAGCTCCTTTGCTTGAGAATCATCGTAACAAACATAGGCCAAGCAACAGGAAAAGTAGAAAGAGAGATAGTATCAAAGACTGTCTGTTTAGATTTGTCCACATACATAGTATGCTCGTTCATATCGAGTTCTTATATTTGGTTCATAAAAACCCAAACCACCTATCCGTACAACTTTCAGCGATAGATTTTCGAGACGAATATATGTAGCAGACACGCCGTATTATTATACATACTGACTGGTACACCCCTTATATATACATGAAACTACCTATAGTACTTAGGGTATACATACCGTCACTGACCATCACTGCGAGTTGGAAAGAAACCGCTTACATAACATTATCGGCCAGAGAGATGCGGTTATTGTGCACTGCTTGATCAAAGCGGGGCTATTCTGCACTCATTCAATCTTCAAGGTCTGCAGCAATACAACTTCAACTTCGGAGGGAGAGATTTCTTCAACATAATTACATATATTATTATCAGACCAGAAATATTCTTATTCGAGAAACCACACTGCTATTATGTTTAAGATAACCAAAAAAAAAAAACTTCCCCTTATCGCTCTGCCAAAATGCTTGACATGAGCAGGACGTGCCTGGTACAGACGCGCTTGTCACGCACAGTAGGTCACATAAGACGCACAATGATTAGTTCACACTGACAAGCAACAGGGAAAATCGCGAACATGTAGCTGCGAGAATCGCGCTGAGCTTCAATAAAAATCACCCATTCGTGCCATGAAGACTTGACCAATGTTGCGGAAACAGCCCTCCTGTCTGGAGAGACTGATGAGACTGGATATGGTACAACAGCGCCAGTTCCTTCTATTTATTTATCAGAGAATCTAACTAACTACATACCTAGTCAAGATGCCTCTGACGGTGACGACGAGGGAGCTGTTTTGAAAACGCTTAAGTCGAGGAAGGCCACGTCGGCGTGGGATAGCCAAAGCCAGGTAGTGATTTCTACGTACAATCATGAGGACATGCTCGACACTCACGACGAACCTCATCAAGTGCCTGTCCATGGCATCTATTTTGACAAGGTCTGGACAGTAGGAAATGCCGGATCAAAGGTGACAAATGGGGACATGAGGATTATCCGGAAATATGTGCGTGCCAGCCGCCTTTTTATCCCCCGAGATGGAGCCAAGCATATGCCGGACTGTCTGACAGTCGAGAGCCCCGGCCCAGAGAGTGCAGCACCTGCAGTCTATGTGGGCATCTCGTGGGTCGCCATCCAGCATGTGTTTATGCGGGACAAGACCAAGGTCAACAAGGTTTCTTTCGCGGGCAACACGGAAAGCTTCGACCTGAGGGCGGAGCCTTCCAACGTCGTGGCGGAGATCAACACAATCTTCCATGAAGGATGTACTGTACTGTGCCGGGAAACATCTCCCGGCTTAAACGATTTGTGAAGGATAAGGCCACGGGTTTCGAAGAGCAACCGGCACCAATGGCAAGACTCGTGCGCCAGAACAACCGAGTCCAACAATATCTTCCCATTGAACCTATCCAAAACCTCAAGTCAATGATGACGTCGGGCACCAACCTCCACATCGCACCCTCTACCACAGAAACGGCATAGGTACACATTGGATGTATCACGCGACACCCTTGGGGATCCTTGAGCCTCCTAGGCTGCGGTTCCATGAGGTTAACAAACTAACAAGATGCATTCACCCATTTAGGTTCGTCGAACTTGCGTACAGATTGGATGCAAAGCTTGATGGAAAACTGGCTATCTAGACCGGTAAAGTCCACCAGAGCCGGTTACAAGATCCTGTGGGATCCATGGTGTCAAAGGTTCCAACTATAGCCAATAACTGGACAATTCCTCTTCTACCTGCTTCTATGCCCGGAACTAGCATGAAATGGCCATTGGGTGTTAGCGTTAGGGAACCTCCATCTAAAAGGCTTTTCACCCTATTCCGCCTCGATGATATAAAAACAATTGGGCTTCCAGCATGCCACCCTCGCCCCAACCTCACACAACTGGTTGCGATGCCTGAGTTTCTAGCTCGAAGTCATACGCGGACAACGGGGGGGCTCTATCAGTATGCTCCTGCTATACCTCGCGACTGTTTTTGGAGCCCTTTCCAGAAAGGAATTCTTGTTTCACTCACCGGAGATGCCCAAACAATTGGTCCCGTCTGGAAACAGATGAAAGGCGTCGAGGCGGAGGTACCCTTCGATCAATCCTTAAAACTGTCAAGCCAGTCCTGGACCGAGCATGTCCAGAATTTCTCAATAGCAAACGCCGCAAGCGAGGAGTTCCGTTCTCATCTCGAGACGAGGAATAACATGAGAGTTAAGTTGGCACTGCAATTGGGAAAGAAGCTCAAGGACTTGGTCTGAGATAGGGAACAAGTGGTGTTTAAGTGGGATGGCATGATCCACGTGAGTCTGCCAAACGTGGGCGACATAGAACCGCTCACGACTGACGGCGCCGCAACACAGGAAAACACTGTCGATTCCAAAGAGCCTCCCGTGTCACCCGATGAGCCCATCGACTCCAAGAATTGAAAACCCTGGGCCTGCACCGAGCGCGCCAATACCACGATGTCTCACAGCGTTCACCGTCCGGACGGTCGACTGGAAATCCCTGGTCGACACATTCAATGCAAGGAGCCAATCCAGGCTGAGGTTTTGTTAATGGTCTAAACCCTGTGGGACGACTTCGGCGAGGAGGTGGTAGACGGCGCTCGTCTCTCAAGGATTGATCCTAGTGAGATTGACGAAACAATAAAGGTCCGGCTCATGTCGAGACTTCCCACTGTCATTGCGCGCTAGGCGGACGTTTTATCCGCCGATGATGAGGGTGAAATAAATATGGTTCAAGCCTGACTCACACTACCACCAGGATATGTCATGGAATTAGAAGAGAAACCATAAACTTTAGACCTTACTTGTCTAATCTTAGGATATTTAGCTAAATCTTTTATGATTTTAGGATAATCTTAGGCCTAAATTTAGCAAAGATTATTCCCATTCTTCATTCACCCTTTGAGCGCGGAGTTGTGATGATAATTCGCATGGATGTTCTCGACAACCCATCGGGGATGTTCTCCAAGGCAGTGAATTAGAAATTCTCGTGAGCTTGTGAGACAGTAATCAGAATGTTGGTGTTTATTTCCTCCCAAGGGGCGGTTCTTTTGCTGTGCCATGTTAGAGGCGTCTTGAGGAACAGTCAGAAATTTTCCCCTGCTAGGGGATGAACACAAGATTATTAGTGTTGAAGTCTCAAGAGGTCAGTCTATTTCATGAGAAGAATACAAGCTGTCGTGAAGTGACTGGAAGAGCATCTGAGTTGATTTTCGCATTGTTCGTTGATGCATTTGTGGGCATGTGCCATGGCATGAAACAACATAGACGAAGGATCTTGATCTAGACTTGATCTGCCATAACAAAGACTCCTGATCTATCTCCAATTTAAAAGTCTAGTGCTAGATGCTGGTATGGTCGAGACTTGGCTGGGCTTCATTAGGCCGAGTTGCCATAGTAGATTGAGGTATGTCATCTCATTAGACCCTTTTGAGGCTCGTCGTCACCAGACCAGAGATGATTCTCCGACATGTCTGACATACAGAACTTAGATAGGAACAACATCCTCTTGGGCTATGTATTGATAATAGTCTCCTTCCTTTGCAGTCTCGTATCAAGTTGGCCGAGACAAATTTTCAGCTGCTTCACGAGAAATTGACTTCTGCCTGTAGGTTCTTGACTGAGGTTGCCCTTCGTGCAACCTTTTGAAGATCTGCATATTCATTTTCTGGTGGCATGAATCGAGAGAAGCTCAAGGGGGCTTGCAGATTCATAACTAAGGCATACAAGAGCGTTATTATAAGTCGAGGCAATCCAGAGAGAATATGTTCTAGTGCATCCAGTTTCATCATTGATAACAAAGCGTTGGGCAGTCACTTATCGCCATGACTTGACCATTTCTCTTGGAAGGATCAGCCTCGGTAACACTGAAAAACCAATAAACTTATCCCCCATGTTTGTGGCATATTCGAGGATATAGCCTATGTTGAAGGTTAAGGGGAAGCGATCATAGAAACAAAAACCCATTGATTCAGGAGACCAAATTGTGGATTTCCTTAGGATCAATATTTCAAACAATAGAAGGTCATTCTTCAGGAGATCCTGCATATAAGGCACCTCGTCCAGGAATGGAATGGACGACCTTGTGAGGATGTGAACATTCAGGCACGAGGCAACGCCGACCTACACTTTCCAGAAATCACGTCACTCAAAGGGAAGGTGCTCAACCTCTCCACTCATACCTTACTTCAGTTGCACCACTCACGACTTTCGACTTCCACCTTTCACTTTTACACATCCAATCTTCTCATTTGAGAGAGGCTTGACTGAAAAGAACAATCCCCCTCTTCGATAATTCTGAGCTCCTTTAGTTGTATCGCTGGTTGGTCCTTGAAACGCAAAAGAGGATATCTCCTCCAGCACACAAGACTCCGCTGTGTTTTCGTTCCAAAAAGAACCCTGTGAGCGACTCGACAATATCCGGAGAACATTTCAAGAACAAGACAAGCAAACTAAGAGGCGCCCTGCTCCAGACGCCGGAACAAAACTCGACCCAAAACGACCACGACCATTTAGTGAAACTACAACACCAGCATCGTCAACAGAGGCTCACGAATCTTCAAAGAGCAACACAATGGATCATAATGAGCCAGATTTGGAGAGCATCATGATCAAATTGATAGGCCCCCAGTCGATTACAACAGCCGAGTTTGACCTGATCGCCCTACACCCTGAGTGGTTCACCACACTTGGCGAACGCGTGAGACTAGCTTTGTCTGAGTCCCGCGCTCTTCGAATTCTCGAGGAAGTCTCGATCGACTATGAAGTTTACCCCGGTCAATATCCACAGGTAGATCACTATCTCACACGACATGGACAGTTGCAGCGAATGATAGACGCTTCTAGGATGATGCAACGTCTTTGGGCTCGGCAGAAAGCAGATGATGAGAGGCTGGACTGGTAACCCCTACTGTTGAAGACAGCCCCCATACATGGACTGAAGACCTGGCTACCTTTGCAAGAGGCTGTCTCGAAGCACTCAGAGGCGCAACTGTTGACGTCGATGATGATATGGACGGATCACGTTCCCGAACTGAGCATGAAGAGGATGCTTGTATGAGTCCTGATTTTCCGGAGATCATAACCTTGTCAACTGAGTTCGCGGGACATATGCGAGATCAGATTCGTAATCTCCCTTGCCGGGCAGTGGAATGGGATGGTCTACTGAAAATATTGAAAGAGGGGCCACCTGTCAAGGAGGATGTTTTACTTGCCATCAGAGCCATAATGTGTGGTTTGGTGAAAGAGCTTCTTCGTGCCAGGTCAGTGTTGGAAAATCGCATGCGTGGGGTTACTTCCGAGAAACAAGCAATTGTGATGCTTCAAGCGCCTACTCATCTGGCCAGGATGGTTGGTGTTCTGAATATCGAGAAAGATGGGGAGATCGATTCATATGCAGAATGGAAAAGTCTGGAGAAATGTTTCCCTGCCAGGTATAAAGGCTTTTGGAACGATATCGACTGCATGTGGCCGATCCTCGCTGATATCCGAGCTTGGAGCGTTGTCAGTCGAAATCTCCACAGGATATACCAGTCAGAGGTATGCACAAATCAAATGGAACTCCTTCTCAAGTTCTCAGTTGATTTGCATACCACCCGATTTGATCGTCATTCAAAGGGTCGTCCCCACGTCTGAGTCTGGCTGAAAGCCGGCCCATTAGAATCGAATTTTCGACAACAGTCCGACGTTAAGAACATGTACTTCCGAGTCTCAGTCAACTCAAGGGTGCAGGCCATTGACATTTTCTTCATGTCATACAGTTGAGTTGTTCTGAAGGCCTCAAATCTTGGGCTTAACGTATGCCATCACAACCTACCAACGACTTTGTCAATATGGAACAAGCACAAGAGTATTCGGTGATGAGGAGATAGAGCCTGGTGGAGTTAATACGAGTGTTATAGCATACTTTAATCTAAAACAAAGTACATGTTACGTGTAATCTGCTATTATTGGTCTCGAGTAATTCCACAACGAGGAGGGGACAAACCTTAGTAGAGTTAAGGATGACTTATGAGAGGAGTAAAGAGCCTACTTCCATACATTAGGATACCGAGCCAAACCTATTGCCATGTAACTTAAGATGCAGCAAAGGCATATATTATATCAAAAAGTAGAAGGAACTCTGTGTTAAACAGCTTGAATGAGTGAGAAGACGGACGATTGATGTATAAAAGAGAGACAACTGATCCTGGTTCCGTCCAATGCAGCACTATCAAGCGTCTCCGTGAAAAGTAAAGAACAAGGAGTAAAGGAAAGGGGTGTAGCTGGCGCTAAGAACCTCCAACACATAAAGCCCTGGCAGAAACAAAAACGGGTGATGTAAAGACGAGAGCGCAGCCGCATGAAACTTCAGACACTGGAAGAGTAGAAGCATAGATAAAGAAATGGAAATGGAAAAAGAAGATTAACACAAGAGCATTACTGAAGCAGGCCGATGATGGCGTATCAGGCCGAATGTGAAACTTGGGACGGGTGTGTTCAGCTGGAGCCCTACTCGGGAGTGTTTTTTGGGTCTTTCTTGGGCTGCAGGGGAAGGGTGGTAGTCTGTAGAATAGGCATGCGATAAACTCCATTGGGCTTCCTCAGCCAATTCTTTTCTTTGAAGAAGTCGAGTTCCTTGGCAATATCAGTACAACGTAAAGATTGAAGCGGAGGGGGCGGAGGCACATACAGCAAGCCATTCAGGCTCAACAGCGGTGACATTTGACATATACTGGATCCCAGAGTAGGTTAAGTTTCCAAAGAGGATGCACTCATGATTAGCTCCAACCTGGTGACTATCTGGGTGGATGCCAGCCTGCCAGTTGGCACGAACGACGCGGTACTGGCCAATACCGGCTGGGTCACGAAAATCTGAGCGGTAGTAGAAGGTTCGGGTCAGAGCTTTTCGTATGTTGATCTCGTAATTTGGATCGATAAAGGGGGTTGTATTGGGCGCTCTCCAATCCGGAAACAACAAGTGGAATTGTTCCTTGAGTTGTTGTCGAACCCGTGCGACCTCGTCTAGAACGGAGTGGTTGAGGAACGCATCAAAACACCACTGTCTGATGTCCAAATCGATCCTTTCCTTCTTGGGAGCTCAGGGGATGTTTGTTGTTTGGCGTGACTGTAGGCATGGAAATGCGTGGAGTTGTGCGAGACGGTCTGATGTAAAGTCGGCAAATTGCTGTCGGGCAAGATCAGCATAATACCTGACTCCATGTGGTCGCAAGTAGATGTTGGATCCATCGAGAGCGGCGAGAGCCAGCATTTCAAGGCTACAACGAAGTTTGTGAGCCTCTACGATGGCGTTGAACCATACTGGATGGACGTGTAATTTGGAAGCCCGACGGCCACGTTCAGTAATTGCCCCTTTACTATCTATGTAGCCTCTAGGTTCCAAGTTAGCAGGCACACCGTGGGGAAAAGAAGCTATAGGGTCCTTACATATGCCCAAGGTCCTCCAGCCCGCGAAATAAGATCTCGGGGTGAGGTGGATCGACAAAGTCGAACTCAGCGACGTTGTCAAATCCCATGGCCTTGAGCTTTGAAATGAATTCAGAAATCCCATTCTCGTGGATTTTGGGTGTTGAGAATGCCTTCGTCTCCTCCTTGAAGGACTTGTAAGTGTACAGCCTATAGCAAAAGCCAGGCTTGTTTCGACCGGCGCAGTCAGCACGCAGACGGGCGGCAGCTTGTGATATTGGACCCGTGATTAGGGTGTCTAATCTCATACGCGGGTTGTACCCATTGTGCTTGGCTTTGCCAAGATCTGGCCGGTTAGATATATTCACTCGCAGCATCATAAGCGTGAAAACATACCTATGATATGGACAATGCCATCGACAATCATGCTGGCCTCAGCAATGTTGGTGGCACATACACACATTCGCTTTGTTCTCTTTTGGAGCACTCGACTCTTCTGGTTCTCTGGTAGTTCAGAGTACAGCGGCAAGACCTCCAATTTGCGAAGCAGGAGACAGGCTTCCTCACACTCGGCAGCGGATGAGGGAAAAAATGAGGATATCTCCATCCTCCTCCTTTTCGTGGATATATTTGGCTAGATTCAAGGCCGCGCTGAAGACTTCTAGAATAGGTTCCTTGATGTATGTGATCTGGACGGGATGGTTCTGGCCAACGAGCTTAAAGTGAGTGGCCTTTTTGTCGCCGAATTAGTCGAGGAACCTTTGAGCGTCTGACGTAGCCAACATGACCACTACTTTGAGGTCGGTACGCTGGGATATTGCCACTTTTAGTAGGCCAAGCAGCATGTCAGTTGCCAATGCACGCTCGTGAGCTTCGTCTATGATGATGCAGGCCTGTTACGATTAGTGACACTTATTCTCAGCGCAAGGAACCATAGGCAAGAAATTACAAAGTCGTTGAAGTTTGGTTGTTTCCCAGCCACCTCCAGCAGTGTTCTGTCCGTCATGTAAAGCAGCTCAATCTGATCATGCCGAAGTTTGTCAAACCGCATAGCGAATCCAACCTCTACTCCGACGTGTACGTCCATCTCGGCGGCAGTACGTTCAGCCGCTGAAGCGACCTCGATCCTACGAGTATGAGTACAAGCAATTTTTCCATTTCCTTCCCATTCATCGAAGAAAATAAACTGTGGTATTTGGATGGCCCTTTCAGAGCCAGGTTCGCTGGACAAAACAATGACCTGTTGCAATGTTAGATGCTCCCCATGAATTAGTTGTTCGAAAAGCCTACTTGGTGTTGGTGATAGGCGTCCAGGAACTCTTGTCTTTTAGCAGAGACAGGAAGCGCTCGTCGCTGCTTCAGGAGGTCAAAATACTTTGTCGAGTGTGTCTCTCCAGGGCGGAAAGGATGGTCCTTGCCATCCTCGATCGCGATAGCCTGGGCAGCTGTGGTTTTGTTTCTCTGTAGTTTATCCATCGTTGAAAAGGGGCTCGGGTGGAACCTAAGGGATGATTATACTTGATGAATGGGAGCGACGTGGCTGTGTGTTGGTATGTGTTATAGTGTATGTTATTCGGTGATAATGCTGTTGATGTTGATTTCAATTCGCGGCCAACATTATCACTTACGGGCTCTTATAACTTCCTGATGGTCCTTGAAGGTACAGATTCCGTTGACTGGCAACTGTTGGGCAGTGTCAGGGAACCAGGGGCTGCCAGTGCCGCCATGGATCCATGCCCAAGTGCCGATATAACAACAAGAGGGAGAAAGTATACCTACTTACCTACCTAGGTATTGATCTTTTCTCTCCCTCTTTATTCACCGGCACATTCATCATAAACCCATTTCCGTTTTCATTTCATTACATTATTGCGTACTGCTACATCATCGCTATCACCATCCTGTCATTCGGTGAGTATATCACATTTCTCCCGCCCCCTTTTTAAGTTTCTGACGAGGCTCTTAGACATGACCATACACAGGCCTCTGAGGGAGATCCGTCAACAGTCAATCGCCGATGGCGTGGTTACCTTAACATTGGTTCACTCAACTATGAGACCCCAAAAACCGAGGTTCACAAATTGCTGCAAGATCACGACTTCAGCGTCGAGATTTATTGGCCGAACTTTGAGCCGGTTTTGGGCGAATCAGACCTGGGAACCGCCATCATGGGCTGGTGCTGGGTCCAGTTTCAACGGAGAGAAGATGCCCAACGTGCAAAAGACGTACTGAATGGAACCATCTTGTATGGAAGACGCATCAAGACGGGGTCCGTCACCCACCAAGTAAGTGTTTCTCTAGTGCAACCTTTTATACTTTTTCTTTCTTCTCTTTTTTACATACTGTTGGTATCTGTGTCTCTGATCGTAAGACAACATATACAGTTGATGGACAGACGGAACAGGATCGGGCCTGACATAGATATCGCGACAGACCTGTATCATCTTTCTATATGACAGTACATAGTCAACAGCGCTATTCGGACGCAAAACTCTCTAAATACCTGATTCCTCATTTGGAGTGGATGAGGTGCTGGAATGTCTATATGACTTTGTTATACAGCCTAGCATAAGGTTTCCAAATCCTGAGACTTATTTATTCTCACTTTCATTCATAGCGATCATAAGTGATACCTGAATGTTGTAAAAATATGCAACAATAGTCTGCCACTCATTAGTACAACAGTTCAAGAGAAGGTCCTAAGCCTCGAGCCAAACACAGCGAGCTTCAAAAGATGGAGAGTGCCCCTTGAATCACACCGGAAGGCCCCCCTTGTGGGTGTTTTATCCGCAATTCACATCTAAAGAGGTCGTAGGATCTATATTGAATACTCATCAAGTGGCCTACAAGTTCCCTTAATTGAGTCATAAACTAACTTCTCCTGACTCTGTCACAAACAAATTGTATTCAAGAGGATGCCATGAGTCTTGTGGCCGTTACGCTACATAAGGTAATAAAACCATATATCAAGCACAGCTTTGGTAATTTGTTCAATATCAGAACAACTCAGTAAGTCACCAGTGACAAAGGAACTCTATCTGCTCGTTCTTTGTGGTGTTCTTGAGTTGTCTTTGTTTCACAGTTGGTTTTAAGTGGCCATGTTCACGTTTGACTTTTCTCAGCACTCGAGGTTAAATCCAATAAATAGGTGGTATCCAGAAAGGTCGTGAACTCTTCAAAGCTATATTTCGATAAAATTTCTCGACATGACTTCTAAAGGGTATAGACTTTTAAGAATGGACCATATAATCTGCAAGTTCTCTTCCTTTTTATCGAAGATCTTCTCAAGGCCCAATGTCTTTAATATCCCGACTCACACAGCAGTCTCAGCCAATTCTCAATATGGAGACCCATAACATACAGTCGAAGACTATGGAGAATAATCAAAAACCACTATTGACCGCCGACATGGCAGTTGGTACTGTTACTGTTGAGGCTCCCTTCGATGAGCTCAAGAAAGGCAGGGTGTTGATCCTCAATGGATTTCCAGGCACGGGAAAAACAAGTATTGTGAATAACCTCAAAGAACGGCTCTTCGGCCAGAAGATCCAGATAGTCGACAGCCCAATAATGGCCGGACAATTTTGCGCTCATCCATATAAGCGAGGGTGTCGATCTGCCTACCTTCATGAGATCCGAAGATTGGCAGACCAGGGCTACACTATCCTGGTGACAGCTTCTCTGGCGAACAACATATCGAGCCAACAAGTCATCGAAGACATTATTGGAATCGTCTCCGGGAAAGACATCTCCCTGTTCTGGATCAACATCAGCCGCCAAGAGGTTGTACAAGATCAACAAATATCGAACTCGGCCCGGTTAGCGAACGACGAGTTGAAGACAGAAAAGCCTGATGTCTTGCCTGCTACCGCCGAGCAAGGTCAACTTGTTCTTCCCTCAAGCCTAGGGCATAAGCTGGATGGGATTAGCATGATCACTCGAGTGATGAATATGGGGAATGGCATCGAGGAGGCAGTCAGGAAGGTATCGGAGGTGATGGCCCGAGAGGAATGAGACAACATTGGGTTTTTGTTCTACTTTTGTTCTTTTCGTGGGAGTCTTGGAGTCTGGGCATTTCATGATACCCAGTTCAGTTCTTTAGCGTACCGTTGAGACCACATACAAGCACATTTGCTAGATTTCGGAGCGCACACAAGACAGTACAAATGAACAATAGTGCAGACTGGAAATGCAGAATAATATTAAAATCATGTTCAGTATGCAGTTGCGTGCGTACACAATTATTGAATCAAAGTATCACGCAAACGTGCAACACCATACCCTGGATCGTGATACCATCAAACAAGCATTCCTAGGCCAATACAAGTAAGACAAAACAAGGGAATTAAAAATGTCATCGTCGGAAACAACGGAGCTCAGCTGGGCCCAATAGAGCCGTCTACCCATGATTATAAGACATGCTATGTCGTCGGCGAGCATTGCACTATGAATGCTAGGCACAGGGAAGCTGCATAAGAGATTACTTGGCCCAGTTCGTTTGTACAAGCATAATTCTAGGCATAGCTCTATTTTCAGGATTAGAAACACCCCGAGTCTTGCCTGACTCGATCGACTCGATCAACGGAGAAGTTCTTTGGAATGTGATGGTATGTCTGACAAGTGACAGCCATGTTCCCAGAGGCCAAGACAGCATTATTCATGAACGGCGAAATAGTAAGCCGTAGCAGTTGGAAAAATCTGAAATGTCGAATTTTTTAGCATTACCGAGAGGAGGATCGACAAAGCAGTACGCTTATAGCGAAACGAGACCGACGTCCAAGCGAGCATGTTCCTCGGGGTTCACGGAGAGACTATTGACTATCTCGGCGTCTGTATAGTTTGACAGGCCGGGAGCACAGCAAAGCACAGGATGCACGTGGGTAAGTGCACAACGGAAAGAAATATCATCATCAGCAGAGGGAAAAAGCAAAAGCAAAAGCCAAAGCAAGCCCTGGCTAATAAGGACATGGGCCTTTTATTAGACGCGGATCAGGAGGACGGGATAAGGAGCATGGACCGGGTGAGAAGAGAATTAGGTAAGGACCTCGCCTAACAATTAATTGCCTTGGCTTGCTTTTGCTTTTGCTTTGCTTTGGGTTGAATGAGAGGCTTTTGGTCTATACGAGATGAGCGATGACATGTCTCAATTGACAAGTCGAGTGAAGTATCTGATTCTTGGCTTGAGGCGCATGGTGAAACGGGGATATCGTAAGCAGGAGGAGAGGCAGCAAAGAGGGACATAATTATAGTGAGCGAATAGACGTAGAGAGATGCTAACAAATTCGAGATAACAAAGCTATTGTTTAGGTCAAGCCTTGAAGGCCATTGGTGCTGTGCCTAGATGGACGCCATCTAGGACTTGAAACGCGCGGCGGCCGTATAGCGTCATGAGCATGGGACACAACTCCAGGGGGAGTGGATAAAAGCCCGGTAGTTTGGTAGAATTTGTGTTATTTACCTCCACAGGCGACATTGGCCTAGATTTGGCTCGCAGGCAGTTAGTGCTTGGTGAACCTGAACTTGATCGAGGCTGGCAAGAAATGGAGATATCCATCACGGCATTTCCTTTGGCCGGTTGATGATGACTGACAAGACAAACAGTACTCCGTAGATAGACACCTGATGCAACATATGCATGCACTCCATAGTATGTATAATTCAGCTATTATTATTCAGTTTCCTCAGCTGGGTTTCTGCAGCAGGGATCAAGTACGAGGCATAAATGCCCAGGATATCGCTTTGTTTAGACCTTCAACGTTTCTTGCCACGAACTGGTGGCGGGATTCATATAAACCGGTTATCTATTATATGCGGCTTCAAGTAACGGTAAGGTTATTTGCCTCACAAACCAAGGGCCACTGACATGTTGAAGAAAAGCCTCGTGGATATTGATCTACTGTTGATCGCTCGGAGGTTCCATTGACGGGAAGTCAAACCAATGTTACTACTACCCCAATACCCCAAGTGCCCGGATGATAATTATACGTACAGTATATTTGAAACACATCTGCAGCATTCAGTGGCTTTGCGGCAATATATGGACGGCCTGTTGAGATGTTAGAGTTTGAAAGCAGATTACAACGGCCGCTCGAATTGAGCTTTGGTATTTTCTCCAGCAATACCGATCCTCTCTGCACACAGACAGACGAATCTAAAGTGGTGGAGACGTTGCAGCGATGGATTCTAGAGTGCATGCATGCATCATCAGGTAAACCGTATACATACAGAAGCGAGGAGCAGGGGATGGTGCAAATGCAAACACCTATCGGTAGAGGAACTAGGTATTTACGGTACTGTAACTTGGCGTGACCATAGCTGAAAATATCACCACCGCCTACAAGTTATTGTTTCTTAACGACTTGGACTATTGACTACTGACCTCAACTAACCTGAAGAGCTTGCCAGAGAACGCATTAGCCTTCCTGTTTCGTTTCTCCGCCCAGGGACCCCTGTCGATCGTTTCCGCGCCTGGTCAC